AACGTCCCGGAATACGAGGAAGGCACTGAGCAACCCCCTCGGTATAATCTGCGACCACTCCCAGGGAGGAAAATTTAAATTATGAATTGTTTTGTTACTTAGACAATTAACTTTTTGTTTACTTGCAGGTGTAGGTGCTGGGATAGGGGATACACCCGAACTGAATAAGGGACTTGTGTTCCTCCGAGAACGCGAAATCTTAGTCACTGGAAATTATTGGAATGTGGTGATTAATTTCGATGTTCAGTGGTATCAAGGTATGCTGCAAGTCATCGGACAGGTATTTAAGCAGCTGGAATGGAACCAAATCCACCGAGGCCAACAGACTAACTTAGTAGATTGGGAAGAAGTGAATCATGCCCATCAGGCCATAAATAAAGTGAATCAGGAATTACTCACCCTTGCCAAGTTGTTACCCACCCCTACTGATGCAGGCTCAAATCATAGGAGGAGGAGAGGGCTGATTAATGTGGGAGAAGATATTCTTAAGTTTTTATTCGGGGTAGCAACAACCCAGCAAATGCAAGAATTGCACACCACAGTGGAGCACATAAAGACAAGGGAGGGGGAAGTGATTCACGCCATTCAAAAGCAATTAACTTATCTTAAATCCATAGATGAGGCCATTTCCGAGAATGCTATGAGATTGGCAACCGTGACCCATGTTCTTAAGAGTGTGATTACTAATGCTCTTACTTATCAGAAATCTGTTAGGGACGAAATTTAGAACTTGAAAACATTGATAAATTTTCAGGCAAATGTTTCACACGTCATGCACGAACTGGAATTTATGGTGATGCAGCTACAGCAGTCGGTCATACAACTGCAAGAGGGGTTAGAAATCAGCGCCGCTGGAAGGCTATCTTCAGTTTTGATTCCTCCGCATAACTTATCCAAAATTTTACAAGAAGTTGCTTTGAGATTGCCCCAGGATGTTTCGCTAATAGCCGGTTTTACTGTGGAAAATATGTATGTGTACTATGAGGTTGCAACTGTGCAGGCATACGCTACCGCTACGGCCATTCGTCTCATAGTACGCATCCCACTGAGAGGGGCCGATCGAGTTATGAACGTTTTTAAGAGTGTTCCTTTACCAACCTATATAGATGTATTGGGAAGACACATTCAGATTGAACCAGAAGCACCTTATTTAGCAGTGACCGAAAACAGGCAGTACTACTCCCCCGTGACGACGGCAGACTTGCAACAATGTAAGAAGGGGTCCGTTAGTATTTGTGAAGCCACTTTTCCGTTTATACATAAGAATCAAGCGACTTGCGTTTCGGCTTTATACTTCGGCCAGACAGATTTTGCACATAAATTTTGCTGGAAGGTTATTTTAAATAAAAATTTAACCCCGTATGGCTTCAGGCGAAAGGATTTCGCCCTTTTTGGATTTATAGTCTGCCCTCGCCAACTATTGTCATGAAGACATGTAAAGGGAATGGCACCACCCAAAGTTTTAATATTGAATTATCTCACACGGGCATACTAATGGATGATATTCATTGTCAGTTTTATTCTGAGGCTTTTATTTTGTTGCCGGTAGCTGATGGTTATACGAATGTGTCGCTCACCAGCAACCAGGTGCTACCCCCACACCTACCCGAGCTGATGTCGCCTGAGGAACGGTGCCAAATCATGCACGATGAGTTGCGGACACGCCGCGCACTTGCGGCCCTGGAGATCATCGCGCAACAGAGTTCGCATGTCAACCAACAGCCCTATGTTGAGCTGAGAGATCTCCTGGACACTGTGTCTACTGATGGGGCTATGACGAACCAAGTAACTTGGTTGTATATGTTGTTCGCCTGTATCATTGTCCTGCCATTTGTAGTCCTCACCCTTAAAAACTGGCGATGTCCTATAACCCTCCTGATCCGGAGAGTTCTCCCATGTACCACTGACCAACGACCATATGCGTCCCAGACAGCGAATCGACCAGCTGCACGCCGAGTCCAAGCTGTGGACTCAGGGGTGACCAATCGCTTTGGCTCTGTCGAAACTCCTAATGAGAATGTGAAGGACACGGTGTCACTTCGGGCGGAGGCAGAAACGGTATCCGGACCAGCTCCAGCTGCCCAGCCAGAGGCTGCTGAACAAACGTACTTCACTCAGCCCGGAAGATTTCAGCTCCTGAACTGAGTGAGAATGACCACACGCAGAGGCCCAGAATAACTGCGGCCATAAATGAGTGAATTATTTGAACAATTAAAGGACTCACCCATGAACCTTGCCACTGTTTAAATTTGTATTTTCTTTCTGCATACTCCGCATATACTGTTTGAGTATTGTATTTACTATTTTTGTTGTGATGTAGTAGGTAACTTTTTTTGTAAACGTTCACATGGTTACAGCTTGGTGTTCGTTGTGTTGGAGAAATCGGAGAGGTGGATCTGAGATGCAAGGGACCCAGTGAGTCAAGGTGGTACGAGGTCTGGATGAAAACCTCAACTCGGCGGAGTTAATATTTCCATTTTATGTGGGGGCAATGTTGTGCTCATTTTCTTAGTCATTAAGTATAATTTTTGTAAGATTGTGTGCTTAGGTTAAAATGTTAGACGGCTGGCCAGAAGGCGAGGAGACAGAGCCACGGCTGACTCTTCGCATTCCTTGGCAGTTGATCGAATTGTCTTTAGAAAAGACTGTTTACGCATCAGTGGAAAGATCCGGTCAAGTTTCGCTTCGTGCGACAAGGCATGTCCGGCAAGTTGCTGACCTCAGGGATTTCACGTGCGCAGCTTTTGCGACTTGGGGAAAAAAGTTGAATCTTGGAATTGGAAAAAAAAACAGGCCGTTTCAGGCACTCTCTTCCTAGCAGTTGCTAGAAACAGATGAGTAACGCAAAGTGTGCCTGTGGAACACCTTGGGATGCCGCCAGTGTTTTTCATGTGCATCATGTTTAGCGCGAGTGAGTACTTGCCCGTGGTCGGGTCACTGATGGCTTATTAGAGCTTCTGGTTTAAATTATTTTGGTTGGTTAATGTGTTTTTAGAATATAGAGTTGTACAAGTGGTTTATTTGATTATATATTCCCTTTTTGTTGTTGTTTGGAGAACTCGAGTTTTTGTAACCCTCCTAGTGAGCATGTTTTCCACAGCATAGGTTAAGTGATATCCACAGACGTCCGATAGGGGGTGAGTACAATCAATGCCCCCTATCCAGGCACAACAACTATGCTACAAGCCGGAAGGTCGCAGGTTGAAGTCCCAATGAGGTCATTGGATTTTTTCAATTGGCCTAATCCTTCCGGCCGCACTAGGCCCTGGGGTTTGCTCAGCCTCTAACAGAAATGAGTACCAGGAATTAATTAAATAATTTTCCTGGGGAGTGCAGCACGGACAGCGTGTAAGGCTGACAACCTTGTTGTTGTTGTTGTTGTTGTTACTGGAGAGGGTGGGTTTCCCCATGCACTTAGACCAGATATTGGTCCATTGTGCGTCCCCTGTGATATTCTACCAGTCTCTACACCCTACCGGTATTGGTGCGGACCATCAGTCCTGACTCAGCCAGCGAGTTTGGCCTCTACTGGCTCAGCGGTATCTCGATGCTTCCCCCATCTACCAGAGGCATTAGAGACTACTGGAAAATGTCCTGAATTTGGCTCAGAGATCCCCTTGGGACATGAGGTTCTTTTACATGCTGTAAAGCTACGACATGGGACACACGGCTTAAAGTCCCTCCCAAAGGACTTGTTCCCTGAATTTTTCCGCCCTTAAAAATTCCACGACCTCCGCCGGGTTTGAACCCGTGTACCTTGAGTCACGAGGTGGGAATGTTACCCCTAGACTACGGAGGCCACTAAGGCTGACAACCTTACTGCCATCTTTGAGCCGATTGTCAAGGTAATGTGGGACCCTTAACGTCTCACAACCCCATGGGCCTTCACGGCCTGTTACTAACAGCAACAGACCACTGGTGCAGATAAATTGGTTTTCATCATCAACTTCATGGATTAGGCCATGCTTGGTCCATTCCATGCTCTTGAAAAATATGCTGGTCCCTCCATCATAACTGTGTGCACCCTACATTTCATCATCTTCTTCGATTGTATGTTGAAATGTTGGGACCCGTCTATCTTCCATTCACAGAATGTGATACTTCTACTGTGAGCTGGGTTTTAGAATTTTATGTTCGGGTCCTTGATAGGGCCAAGAATTTTCTCTTCTGCAAGTCATCCAGACCGGCTCTAGGGTCCACCCAACCTCCTATCAAATGGTTACAAGGGGCTTCTTCCCCAGCTGTAAAGTGGCTGAGGCATCAAGTTGGCTACTCACCTCCAGCTAGTGGGAAGGCCAACAAGATGTGGATCTATATATTCGCCTCCCCTCCCCCCAAATGCCTTCACGGCATAGTGCTTAATTTGTTAGGCACAGGGACAACTTTACCTCTTTTATTATCTATTGCAGTAGCATAGTTGGTTGAGGCACTAGGCTACAAGCCGGAAGGTTGCGGGATTGAATCCCGATGAGGTCATTGGATTTTTCTCAATTGACCTAATCCTTCCGGCCACACTAGGCCCTGGGGTTTACTCAGCCTATAACAGAAATGAGTACCAGGAATTAATTAAATAATTTTCCTGGGAAGGAAGCACGGCCGGCGTGTAAGGCTGACAACCTTACTGCCATCTTTGAGCCGGTTGTCAAGGTAATGTGGGACCCTTAACGTTGTAACGCTCGCAGCCAAAAAGGAACGACACATCACAGACACAGACTCCCATAGTGAACGAACCATAATATACGCGAGCATGAATTGGGACGTATAGATGAATAATCTTAACAAGTTTTAGAATATACAAACTTTTATTGTAGATTTATGCAAATAATGAACTTTCTAAATAATTTTATGAAAGACACAAGATGGCAAACAATGTAATAGCTTAGCGTAAATGACGAACCTGAAGATAGCACTATATTGCTGAAACATGTAGTAAGAAGTGACATGTGAAATCGAGTGCACTACAAGACGGCCATTACAAAACATATCATTGGCAATCCTACCTTGACAGTCAGAGTCAAGTTGCACATGGTTACGTGAGTGACCATATCTTGCCAACTGCTCACTATGTGTCCACCAAGCATCATTATCTGTTGCTTAAGGTTCTTCTTCTCGTCAGGAGTGAGGGTGGAAGCCGTAATAACCAGCGGGATGTATTCCAACCTATACAAACATTTTGAAATTCATCTTGTTCTTACAAAAGCTGCTATGAAAGTACTAACTGCTGCAGTCTTCTTAAGAAATATAGTATAATAAAGACAACTCAAAATTTGCAAAACACATCCTGGAAACACAACAAAATTACATAACAACATAAAGATAATATGGACATTTCGAGCATGCACATTGTTTAAGTGACTACTACAGTAAGAAATTGCGTAAGTGTTCACTACTTTGTACAAACATGTAGCAAAACAGTTAATCTCAAAGGATGGTGTAGGACAGTAGCATTTACCTTCAAATAAGCACAAGAATCTGATTTCAGATTCAGATGTCATAAATTCTGCTACACATTTACATTACAGGACAAAAATTAGAAGGTATTACTTTCATAACCCTTATAAACTCTAACACATTCATAACACTAAATTACATCCCTGTACTTAATTAACCCGGGGCATGTGGTAGCATAGTTGGTTGAGGAGCTATGCTATAAGCCAGAAGGTCATAGGTTCAAGTCCCGATGAGCTGGATTTTTTCAGTTTACCTAATCCTTCCAGCCACACTATGGCTCTGGAGTCGACTCAGCCTCTAACAGAAATGAGTACAGGAATATAATTTGGGGTAAAGGGTGGCCGTTGAGTAAGGCTGACAACCTTACTGCCATCTGTGAGCAGAATGTCTAGAGAAAATGTGGGAGCCTTGATGTCTCACAACCCTATGGGCCTTCAAGGCCTGTTAGAGGGATAACTTTTACTTAATTAAGCAACATGACATAGAGAAATATCACAGAGTCAGGATACAGATTTACACACTTTTCATCAAACAGAGTGGCCTAGCAGTAATACTTTACACATCTACTTAGGAGGTGCTCAGTTTGAATCTTAGTCAGAGCACCAGCTATCCTGACTGAGGTTCTTTGTGATTTTCCTCAGTTGCTTCAGGTGAATGCCAGTATAGTACCTCAACCAGGCAATGAATGCTTCCTTCCAAATCCTTTCCAATTCATTATTTATCAACCATCCTATCACCTGACAATATACAGCATTGATACTGAAAGCATCACTAATTACCAACTTAAAAAAAACACATTCTTAATCTTTGCACTGGATGGTGGTCAGGGGGCAGCTACAGAATCTGGTCACCTGACTCCACAGAAAGATTAAAACTAGAAAAGGACACCTGGGAGATCTCAGCCTAAGAAATGCAGGAAATTGTCACATGTTTACTGAAACCGTATGAATTTAGAGTTGCTGGGTATTCCTAACCTTCAGATACAACTGTACATTAAACTAGTAGTGATTTAGGGCCGCGCCATAGCTCAAGCGGTTAGTTCGCTGGCTTCCCACCATGGCGGCCCAGGTTCGATCCCGGGTCTGGTCAAGTGGGATTTGTGGTGGACAAAGTGGTATGGGGGCAGGTTCTCTCCGAGTACTTCAGTTTCCCCTGCCAATCTTCATTCCATCAGTTGCTCCACAATCACCCTCACCTATCAGCTGGGGCTGGTACAACGGGCCAGATGTGGCCGCAGTACAAGGGACTTAGTACCATCCCACTAGCAATTAAAAAAAACTAGTATTGATGCTATGCAGCATGAGTTACTTAATAATTAAATAAACCATAAATAAATAAATTAAACTAGTAACAGTATAATCAAGCTCTTACTTTCCACTACTGTACGTTACCTAGACAAAAGACTAAAGTGGATACCATTAAGACAGAACTAGTGAAAAGTCTTCACTTCACTATTTTTTACCTCCACTCATTCCACTGTACGCCAAATCGGATACGATCACCATTGCTAAGAATCTCTGTACAGTCTTTAGCCAATCTGCTTGAAGCCTCAATTCCATCATTAATAAATGTGCCATATTTTGAGCTTGTATCCGTAAGTGAAACAACTGGTAGTTTACTGGGGTTTCCCTGAACAAATAAAGTAATTCAAAGTTAAAAAGTAAGGTATAATACATTATTACTATAATCCTTCCAAGTATTATGATTTGTTGGTCTCTTACAGATACTAAACACCATAATCTTTCCACCTTATGTGAGGTCATACCAAGTGCCTCCTTCCTCAAGGTTAGTATTTTATAAATTTCTTTCTTCCAATTCTGTTTAAAGTATCATGAAATCCATGTACACTGTAGATGACACCTCATATTGCCTCTTCTTCTCAAACTGCATACTTAAATTTCTTGTGGTATATCCAATTTAAGCCAATCACAGTGGCTGCATGGTCTAAGGCATGAACTGTCTTCACCTGCTTGAATGCTGGGATTGTGGGTTCAAATCCCACTCAAGACGTCTGTGTATACGTTTATTCTGTGTTTGTGTTGTCCTGTGTGTAGATAGCGGCCTTGCGTCTGGCTGATCCCATGAAAGGAGTCCTACCGACTGTCTTAAGATTAAGAAACTGAAGTGAAATGAAGCATTTCATGAATGCCCTATGCTCCAAGTGGAAGAAACAGGAATATACAGACAGACAGACAGGCATGGGTCCAATTAAATACAAAGAGACATGGATAACATAGGCACTTGACAAAAACAAACCCTAAAAACTGTCACTGCACTGCCTGACTGGTGGTATGTTACAAATCAAAGAGCACACAAAACTAATGTTGTCCCTTCAGACTGTGAAACAAGAATACTGTGCATGATATCTGAGTTTCTTACAGTCGTGACAATTAAGATGACTGTCTTCTGAGCTGTAATGCCATGTAGTCAGTAGATCATTGCTGACATTCTGGAGGAACGTGCTGCCTCTATGATTATGTGATTCGTGTAATTTTGTATATGTATCTTGATATATCTATTTTCAAAGGGACCATTTCCACATCCTAGGTTTGTTACCTGTGTGAATATATGGAAAATAAACGGAATGAATGAATGAATGAATCTTCAGAGTTCCTCTACCCTGAAGGTAATGGAAGCAAGTACCTCTGAAATATCAGTAATAATCTACAAGACTACACAGCATCATATACTGGATGGCAGTAATTTTCAAGTATATAACATTTCAGATGTAATGAAGATTCAATAGTCCACGAATTTCTTTATCCAAAATTTGTTTTATGTTTTCTCTGATAAAGCATGCTATCATGTGCCTAGAAATACCGCCTCAAGTTGTGTGGCCTGCCTAGAAGCAGGATGAACACCCTTCTGGCTACAAGCCAGAAGGTCATGGGTTTGAGTCCCGATGTGGATTTTCTTCAATTTAACTAATCCTTCCAGCCGCACTATGGCCCTGGGGGTTGGCTCAGCGTAACACAAATTGGTACCAGGAATCTTCTGGGGGGGGGGCAAAGGGCAGCCAGCGCGTAAGGCTGACAACCTTACTGCACCATCTGTGAGCCGACTGTCTAGAGAAAATGTAGGAGCCTTGACATCTCACAACCATATGGGCCTTCACAGCTTTACATTTTTTTTCCTTCACTGGCGTATTCAGCCACATATAAACGAAACAACTGGCGCTTTCTATAAGACAACAGAAATTCAACCAAACAGATGTGGATACAATATCTAGACAGAAACAGAGAAAGCTGATCAACAGAAACAATTCTGAATTATGATCCATGAGGACGACAAGATATTTATAGACTTCACAGGCACTGGCCTGCAACTAAATGGGCTTACAGCCTATCCTCCACTCACAGAACATGAAGAGAAGCTCTGCATTCAGCCTCTCCCACTATCCATTTCTAATAAGAATAAAGACTGAAGGAATAGGAAAAGATATATTTTGGTAACATATTTTTGCTTTAAAATTTCTCACCAAGTCCTTAATGCTGTGTTCAACAGTGATGACAGCATGTCGACGACTAATAGACTGGTCATCTGCTAGTGTCAAATCTCCATCCCTACGACTTACTAGATGGCTTTTTCCCACAAGCAAATAGTACAGCGCCCCTGTCAAACAACACAACAGAATGTGTTATAATTAAATTATACATGCATAAACATGGTGACATCATGATACCGTCAATTTCTTTACAAAGTAAGAAAAGGAATGAATCTCTCCTAATATAATAAATGTTATATAAAATTCCATTAAATAAAAACATAAAAAGCGTCCAAATTTCCTGCAAAGGAATTAAATTAATTTACAATGTTTTACAGCATTAAAATCTAAATTCAAATTACATCTTGGGAACAAAGAGAAAGAAATACTCTGTAATTTGAAATCATTAGTATCACAAAAGTTAAGATTTTGAAAACGCCAACTGCAACACTACTGCATGATTATGATGGCATGCACTAACATACCACAAACCCCAACATAAAAATATTTCAACTCTAGTCTTAATGCGAAGTACCTACAAACACAAGACAGGTCAGCATATGGATAGGCAACAGGCTGGATGGCTTCGGTTCAGTCACCAGCAGGAGCAAGAATTTTTCTTTACTCCATAGCATCCAGACTGGCTCTGAGGTCAGTTCTACCTCCTAAGCATCAGATACTGGAAGCTCTTTCCACATGGGTAACACAGCCAGGGCATGAAGCTGAACACTCAACTCCTTCTAGTGGTGACATCAAGTACAGTGGTGCTGTATCTCCACTTCCTCGTTCATCTTCATGGCATAGTACTTACTGAATCACGCACACAGACAACCTTACCTTTTCTTTTTACCTTACCTCTATTATTCAGATTGTGAGAATCTGTCACATAATATAGCTTCATGTGATTCTGTCACGAATCATTCACTGCCAGAAGAAGTTCAAGAACAAGGTTTATTTTCAATATATAGGCCTTACTGCTATTTTACAGCTCCACTGACGATATTCTGACACATATCATGCAACCAAACCGGCAAATCTGTAGGAGATTTAAACTGTAGGCGTTACATCTCCTATGCACTGAAACCATATTCTGTTTCATATGTGAAATTATCTGAGGAACAAACAGGAAATTCTGGTAACATTGGAAAACCTCTAACAACCACTATATCTCTTCTTCTTAAACATTTTTAATCACCCAATAGTACTTAATGTCAAATACTGGGTAGTACAGTGAACAATAAGCTTCCTGTTGTGTACTTTCATAAGACATTAAATTCTGACCCACTTTGGAACTGGTAGGATACACTTTTAACCAGAAAATAATGAAAAAATTGAAGAGTTCTACCTTATGGGATATGATGATGTGTAGCAAGAAACCAGCATGAAACAGTTAGCAAGCAGAACCATCTCCGATGTCTGCTTCATGCTCGTTTCTTGCGTGGTTTATTCTTCGAACCCGGTGATGGAGGCATGTTCCTCCGAACATCGGTTCAGNGGGGATTTTTCCCCCAAAATGCATTAAAAAAAAAAAAAAAAAAAAAAACTATTGGCTAGAAATGCATACAAGACTACGTACTGACTTACCTCTAGAACTTCTTAATACCCACATTTTACGACAAAGGTTAACACAACTTTACATCCGCATCTTCACTGATAACAAATAACTGTCGAGGGTAATGACAAGCATATATTACCTTTCGCACGTCCACCATGCCTACACTACGGCGATAACAAAGATAACAACAATTACTTCGTTACGACGATTACGACCGACGACTACTACGACTACTACTGCTGTCATTGAATTCCGCTCCAAGGAATTGAACAGTTACGAGTGGTAACGAGCACGAGGCTACAGGCCCTCTACCGGGATCTATGATTGCATATTGCATAGATCTGACCGGATGTAACCCTGACCACTGTGAACAGGTGGGTGTAACTCCCATAGGGGAGAGGGAAACATGCAGACTAGCCATCTATGTTCAGCTACATGAACTAGATAGTCTGGCAATGACTGTAATGGGTCATAATACACATGCCGCAAATAATCGAATCGCATAAGTGTCAGCCAATCAGAGGACCTTAAATTTCGGTTTAAGGCTTTGGGCGGTTGTTTCAGTAATACCGCGTGGTTTCTGAAAATGTGTGTACGCCGTTGTACCATGCTTGTATATTTATGAAACGCTGGTATACACAAAATCAAACTTGAAGACTCTTGCAACCAATTCAGAAATACATTCATATAATACAAGGGGAAAAGATGACCTATATATTGTTTCATGTAATACCAGTTTATGCAAAGACAATTTTATTAATACTGGACTTCGTATGTACAATCATTTACCATATTACATTAAGGAGATACCAGCTCTATACAGATTCAAGAAAGCTTTGAAAAATTTCCTGTTTGATCATTGCTTTTACAGTGTAGACGAATGTCTTACTTCTTTAGAAAAGAGTTCTAGTTAGACTAAATTATATATTCCAAGATTCAAAGAATCAGTTAGCCTCATAGTATTGAATAATACAAGTCATAAGAACGCTTACCGCTCAGTTCATTTATTATTTTTGCAGTGTAGGTGAGTATTTTGTTTGTTAGAAAAGCGTTTTAGTCAGTCTAAATTATATATACCAAGAATAAATTAGCCTCATAGTGTTGGATAATATAAGTCATGAGAACGCTTACTGCTCAGTTCAATTCTCTCTCCAGGAAATAACACTTCGTGACTGCTTCTGGGAATTATCTGCCTAGTTCCATCTTAAAGAAGATTCAAGACCACAGAAACTG